TCAAAGCAAAGGGGGAAAGCACACAAAACAAAACCACCACCAGGAAGAAAGAGACTCCTCTACCCTGAATAGTTAAGATGGACTAGCACTACTAGAATTGAGTTTTCTTGGCTTTAAGTATCTTCCCAAATGAAGTCTGACCCACAGCATTCCCCAGCCCAGGCCTTTCCCATGTGAGTGTACCCTACACACATACGCAGCGTTTGGTAAACGTCCACGTTTTTGTCCCAGCCAAAGTGTTTCTTCCTGCCTTCCCTCTGAGCTGCTCCGGGCCTGCCGCACCTCTGTTCAGAGCAAGGCAACACGAAGCCAGCAGCCTCGCACGCGTTGCACTCACCAGCACCTGCCTGGCTCTGTATTTTCTATTGACACTTATAGAGATTCAACTAGGACCTGATAAAACCTGCTTCAGCGAGGGGCCTTGATTCACATGTCTGTTGCTGCACAGGGACAGAAGCAGTGTCTTTCAAGAAAAAGTGCTTGATAGTCTTAAAAGCAAATCTAAGATGTTTGCTTTTTTCTATTGATCCTAACTTATCTGAGCTGTTTTGTTTCCCAGGTTTATTACGCCTTGCACCACCCAAAGCCTCAGCGTCTTCTCTGAATAGAAATTGATTTAAAGGAAAGAGAATAAAAACGCCTCTTCCATTTACTCCACCACCCAGTAGGAAGAACACACACCTCGAAGCTTTTGGTTTTAAAGCAATGTTATCCAAATCCTTCGAATCATCTATGGGCATCTGTAGTCACACAGCAACTCAAGGGAACATGAACACCATTGTAGCAGAATTCTACAAAATAAATACAAAGGTATGTACCATTTAAAAAAAAATGTATCCTAGGGGCTTAATTTATGTCTGAGAGTTGATATTTATGATCTGAAAGACTAAACAACCATCAGTTCCATGAACAAAAATGAAATCTAAGCACTTTTCTGTAGAAAAGTTCTATTTTTGCAAAATTTTTAAAGACACTGAAGACATGATGCTGTTTCAAGGTTTTTGTTGTTGTTGTTTTTTAATGGGGTATTGTAATTGTTGAAATCAAATGAAACTACAAGCCAGTAGAAGAATCCATGAAAAAAAAATTGGAAGCTGGAAGCTATATTTAAAAGATGAGTTCCACTGAAATACAAGAATTATATTATTTTAAGAAAGGAGTCAATCACTGCTTCTTATTGTACAAAAATAATGGTTTGTACTGGGCTACAAGCTCCAAAAAACTCTTCCTTCAGCCCTTACCTCTAAGCAATCAAGATGAAGGGATTATTTCCCCAAACTCATTAACCTCTCCAGCCCAGTGCTGAAAAACCACAAGACATACAAAACACACACTCTTAATGAACAGACATTTGGAAGTGAGGACGGCTTTTTTTAACCCTCAAAATCAACAGGAAGTAGTGCTGTTGAGCAAGGTGTAAACAGTTACAGGCCTCAGGCATCCCAGGTACTTGCCTGCCTGGCATGGAGCTCTCAGCAGTCCTGCTGTGCCGGATGCTTCAAGCCAGTGGCAGTCTTGAGCAGCTGTAGGGTGAGCTCCTGGCCCAGGGGACCAGCTTTCCTCCTGGGCCTGGCAGAACCCACTGGTCTAGGCAGTGGCTGCTGCCCTGTGCTCTCACACTAACACACCCCACGCTGGGAACAAGCTCAAAGGGAAGATGCTTAGCACCACAGAATCTTCCTGTTTTGGAGGGGGAGAAGCACTACCCATTTGCATTTCATAATTGGCAAAGCCTAAAGCCTCTTCTACAACCGAACGTTAATTTCACAGGTTTATTTTGTTTTCCATCTGCAAAAACCAATTCTAGCCCCTGCCAGATGACAAGCAAAAGAGGCAAGTTAAGGAGAAAGCTTCAAGACAGGCTGCCCCTCCCCCCTTCCAAATGTCCAAGACAAAGGGCGTTTTTCTAGATGTGCCAAATCCCAGAAAAATTCCTAGAAAGCGTGCAAGTCGTTGACATACATTCAACTGATACTGTCATTGCGGGGTCAGGGCCTGCCGAATGGGGCCAGAAGAACTCCGTGTTTGTCAGGAGGATGCCTTTTAAGGGGCTTCTCTCTGGGAACTTCATCGGCTTCCAGGCTATGGCAGACAGGGCCGTTTGAACACATCCTAGGGCCCTCCTGAAGTCAAGCATTGGGCATAAAAATGACAAAAGTCAAGATGTAGGGTTCAGTTCCAGCTGATTTTATTTCCTTCTCAAAAAAAGTTATTTACAGAAGGTATATATCAACAATCTGACAGGCAGTGAACTTGACATGATTAGCTGGCATGATTTTCTTTTTTTTTTTTCTCTTCCCCCCAAACATTGTTTTGTGTGGCCTTGAATTTTAAGACAAATATTCTACACGGCATATTGCACAGGATGGATGGCAAAAAAAAAAAAGTTTAAAAAACAAAAACCCTTAACGGAACTGCCTTAGAAAGGCAGACGTCCCAGTGCCTGTCATGTTATATTAAACATACATACACACAATCTTTTTGCTTATTATAATACAGACTTAAATGTACAAAGATGTTTTCCACTTTTTTTCAATCTTTAAACACAACAGCTATAAACCTGAACACATATGCTATCATCATGCCATAAGACTAAAACAATTATATTTAGCGACAAGTAGAAAGGATTAAATAGTCAAATACAAGAATGAAAAACGCAGTACATAGTGTCGCGAACTCAAATCGGCATTTAGATAGATCCAGTGGTTTAAACGGCACGTTTTTGCTTATAAAAAAAGTGCAAAAAAGATGTGATTTACAAATTAAAGCTACAGGATCCCTTTTTTTTTTTGCTGTAAATGCACCAGTTTTAAAGCCTCTGGACAGAACAGTATTTCTTCTTCTTTTTTTTTTTTAAAAAATCTGTTTTTCTGTAAAGCATACAGTGTTCAGCCAATTCTCCCTCCCCCTGTTTACAAGACTGGGGTTGAAGGGTGGGTACTGGTGGCAGGTCAAGGGATACTGTCACTTTAAGAAGCCTGCAGATTGAAGTGTAAACATGGAGAAATTAGGGGCTGATTTTTAAACTGTGTGAGATATTAACCAGCCTCCCTATTATAAAATCAGGAAATCCAAACAGCGATTTACACCGATTAACACCCCCTTTATATATTTTTTACAAAAATACACTGAGAAAATAATCAAACGTTTCATCTCTCTTGTCTTTTTTTGTTTTTTAAAAGTGTCAAAAGTCTACATTTAAATATAAAAAATTAAAAGTTAAAACTCTAGCCCTTCAGTGAAGGAGACATAAAATGGCGTGGGTAACAACAACTACCAAAAAAAAAAAAAGGTAAAAAGAAATAGAAAAAAAAAAAACCTTTAAAAAAACAAGAAAAAAAAAAGAAAGTCAAAGAAGGTAAAGAAAAAGGGATTAAAATAAGAACAAAAATATGTTTGGCCAGTATAAATACGTCCACATATAAAATGGCATCTGATTACATTTACAAGGAAAAAGAAAATACGAGGATGGAGTATCGGTGAGGGAAAAAAACACGTCCTTTCATTTACACCTAGAAGGAATAAACACATACACACTGAGAAAAAATTTGGTCCTGAATTGTTTTCTTTAAAGTCCAGCACAGATTTGAGTTGCGTTTGAATCCTTTAAAGAGTTAAGAATGAAAAAAAGCTGGTGATAATTTCGTTGTAGGAATCAAACATAGCGCCATCTATCTGCTTTTTATATTATCCTACACTATTTTAAAAACTGCTCAACAGTCTCATACAGAAATCTTTAAAAGACTGACAGGATAACATGCTATATTAACCCCACCAGTGAAATAATCCAACACCATCACGATTCCGATTAAGAGAAGAAAAAAAAAAATCTTTTTTTTTTTTCCACCCCCCCGAAACCACTCGCCCTAATCTGCGCGCGCGTGCCCGTCCAACAGTCCCAACCGAGGCCTTTCGGGGGTCGCCGGCCCCGCGCCCCCGCACCCCTCCAGTCCAGCAGGTGCCCGCCAGCCCCGCGTCCTCCGCCTTCGCCCTCATCCCTGGCTGCGGTCCTCGGGTGACTTCCTAGCGCCGGTCCCTCGGGTGGCCTCCTCCCCTCCTCATCGAGCCTCCTCAGGCTGCCGGAGCAAGGGAAAAAAGAAAAAAGGAAAGAAAAGAAAGAGGGAGGGGAGAAGGAATCCAAACGGGAATTGGCCAGCGTGGAGTCTTTCCAGTCCCAACGCTCCCCTCAAGCCTCAGCCCTCGTCCAAAAAGCATCATCACTCCGCAGCCTCGTCTTCGTCAGGCAAATCAAGAGAAAGAGAGGAGGGAGGGGAGGGGGCGCGTTGCATCCCCCCCCCCAACCGCCGCCACCACCATCTCTCCTCTCCTCTCTGGACCAAGAAACAAAACAAAATCCAACACAATCAAGCAAAAAGGTGGCGAAGCAAGAGGGCTAAGATTCCTTCAGTCTCTAGGAAAAAAAACAAAAAGAAAACCAAAAAACGAGCGGGGAGGCTCGCCGGGGGCGCAGACAAGTCCGGAAGTTCTTTGGAAGAGGAGGAGAAAGGGGTTGGGGTGGGGGGGGGTCTCTTCAAGCAAAAGGGGGGGAGAACTCCAAGTAGCTTTTTTTTTTTTTTGCCATCATCATCATCATCATCAACAACAACACCAATAACAACAACAAAAGGTCGCCCCCGGCCCCCCGCACCTCAGGCTGGGCCGGGGTCGGTCCCCGGGCCCGGGGTGGGGGAAGGGCGCGCGCGTCCCACGCGCCACCGCGCTCCTCTCAGATGACCGCGACGCGCCGAAACCGGCCCTCACTGTTTCTTTTTCTTTTTTTTTTTTTTGCTTTTTTTTTCTTTAATTCCTTTTCCTTCTTCTTTTTTTTTTTCTTCAGATTTTTTTCTTTTTTTTTTTCCTTTTCCCTTTTCTCTCGACTCTTCATCCGTTCCGTTTCTCCTTTTCTCGCCGTTTCTCCTCTCTCGACCCCCGCCCCCTCCCACGTTCCTCCCCCCACCCCCCCTTGCACCCCTCAGAACCCCCTCTTGTCGCTTCCTTGCCCTTCCAAGCTTCCCCTGTCGCTCCCCCCCCACACACCTTCTCCCCTCAGTAGGTGAAGACCAGGTTGGAGATGCTGGACTCGAGCCAATCTCCCGAGATCATCTCGCTCACCTCGGGCGTACAGTAGTCCGGGAACTCGAAGTGAGAACCGGAGCCCGGTTCGAAGTTAAAATCCAGGTCCCGGTCGAGCGCCGACGACGAGCTGAAACTGCCCAGGGACATGCTCTCAAAGTTTGAGCTGGGGTGCAGGTCGAGGAGGTCGTCCTCGAACTCGTCGTCGGAAGATGAGGAAGCCGAGGACGAGGCGGACGACGACGACGAGGCCGACGAGGACGAGGCGCGCGAGGGCGCGCTGGACGGGGCGGGCGAGGCGGCGCGCAGGCTGGCGTAGCCGCGGTGGTCGGCGGGCGAGCGGCCGGCTGCCGGGGAGGACGAGGCGCTGCTCCGGCCGCTGAGGCTCGGCCCGTCGTCGGGCGAGCAGCCGGCGCCTCCGTCCTCGTACAGGCCCAGGGGGTCGCTGGGGTCTGCTGCGCCCGCGCCCACGCCGCCTACGGGAGACGCCGAAGCGCCCAGGCCTCCGAACAGGTAGACGCGCTTCACTTTCTTGTCGCTCAGGCTCTTCGCCGGGGCCGCCAGGTTGGAGGAGGCTGAGGAGGCTGAGGCGGAGGAGGCGCTGGGAGTCCGCGCCTTGTACAGCGAGTGGTGGTCGGCGGCTGCGGCTGCGGCGGCGGCGGCGCCCAGGGGCAGCAGGGCGGCGGCCCCTGCCTGCTCGGCCGCGAAGGAAGCGGCGGCGGCCGCAGCTTTCCCGCCACCGCTACCGCCGCCGCCGCCGCCGCCGGCCGCCAGGACGAGCTTGGCGTGCGGTTTGCCGGTCCCGCCGCCCGCGCCGCCGGCCGCTTTGGAGCCGCCGCAGCTTTTCTTCTGCGCCGGTTTGGAGTTGGCGCCGCCGCTGCCGCTGCTCGCGCCGCCGCCTCCTCCCCCCGCGTGGCCGTTGCCGCCGCCGCCGCTGCCGCCCCCGCCGCCACCGACCTTGTCTCCCTTCTCTCCCGGCTTGGAGGAGGAGGAGGAGGAGGAGGAGGAGGACGGGGAGGCGGCGGCGGCGGTCGCGGCCGAGGAGCCGGCGTTGGCGTTGCCGGACTTGACCTTCTTCCTGGGCCGGTACTTGTAGTCGGGGTAGTCAGCCATGTGCTTGAGGCGCAGCCGCTCCGCCTCCCGAATGAAGGGGATCTTGTCGCTGTCTTTGAGCAGCTTCCAGCGTTTGCCCAGCCGCTTGGAGATCTCGGCGTTGTGCATGTCGGGCGATTGCTCCATGATCTTGCGCCGTTCTATCTGCGACCACACCATGAAGGCGTTCATGGGTCGCTTGATGTGCCCGCTCGGCGTCTTGCACCAGCTCGGGTCGTCGGCCTTGCCGCCCGTGGAGGCGGTGGAACCGGGCGTGGGCGACGAGGCGATGCCCAGCTCGAGGCCGGCGCCCGAGTCCGAGCTCTCGCCGGCCAGCAGCGCTTCCGTGTTCTCGGCGTTGTTGGTTTGCTGCACCATGGCCCCGGCTCCGCGGGCGCCCACGCGCGCTCACACCCTCGCGGCGGGCCGGGGGCGCGATCGCCGGGTCCTCCCGGGCTGCCCCCGGGGCCGAGCACACGCCGAGCGGAGGTGGAGGTGGGCGAAGGGAGAAAAGTCCCGAAGAGATGCGGGGACGGAGAACTCCGCCTGTCGCGCTGGAGTTGTAGTTTCCAGGCTGGAGAGGCTGTCTCGCCCGCCCTCTCCCTCTCCCTCTCTCACACTCTCTCACCGACCGCGCCGCACTTTGCTCGTCTCTCGGCTCAGACCGTGCTAAAGTGGAGAGGAGTTTTCTTGATTGCTGGTTGCTGAGGCTTCCAATGCAAGTTTCTCGTCGCTTTCCAAGCAAGTCTCAGAAAAGATTTTTTTTTTTCTTTTCTTTTCGTCCCCTGAAGTAGTTGCTTCCAGTCGAGCAGTGCTCTCTCGGTGGCTCAGGAAAGCGACATAGTCTCTAGCAGTTAGTCCCTTTCTTGTAATGCAAAGCAGAAAAAGACTCTGATCCAGGACTCTCTGTGGGCGGAATCGGAGCTAAGGAGTTTGTGCAATTATTTGGTTGCAAGGTAGGAAGCCAGAAAGCCTGCATGCAACAGACTGGCATGAATAAATATGTTTTCCCCTCCCTCTGCAAAGAGGGAGCTGGTGATGGCAGAGTTCCTCCAGTGCAGACTCGTCAAGAGCGTGTGCAAAGAACTAGAGACCCGGGAGCTCCAGGGCTCTTCCCCCTCACACACAGTTTCTCTTGCTGCAGCTTAGAGCAGACCCCAATTCCGCCTCGCGCCTCTTTATCCTTTCACAGTCTTGGCCGCAGCCAATCAGCCGCTGTAACCAACGCTTCCTCGTGCCAAGCCCCTCCTCCGAGCCTCCCATTGGCTTGGAACCCGATGCAATAATAATCCCCGCGTGCAATGAGAAGCTCCACATCTGACCTCATTCCAATTTACAGAGCAAACTTTTTAAAAGGGCTAGAAGTACAGCTGAGATTTCTGCTGCCTCTTTTTTCCTTTTGCTCTGTGTGTGAGTGTGTGTGTGTGCGCCCGCGTGCGCGCGCGCTCCCCGCGTGCGTGTGTGAAGAGGATGTTAATGCATGAAATTATTAAGGGGAGAGACGGAAATGTATTCTAACCATTATGTTAGATAACAAGGAGCTAGGAAAGGAGGGCATAGATGAGGGTGAAATATTGTAAATGGAAGCTTTCTGCCTAAAAGCCGAGTGATTATTTTTATTAGTTCTTTTCAGCATTAGAATAAAGAGTCAGCCTCTAGTGCAAAATCTGTTCCACACTCCTTTAAACCAAAGATATAAAGGGGGGGGGGAGAGGAGCAGGCCACAATAAATCATTGGATATTGAAAACCACTGTGATTGCAATTATTTTAGCGACCCTAGGTACAGCATGGCTGTTGATACATCGTGCCAGTCCTTTTCAGAACCGTCTCTGTGCTGTTTGTGCGGAGCAGAAACAGGGACATTCTCCCCCCCCCCCCGTTGGTTTTTTTTTTTTTTTTTTTTTTAATAATTGCTGGCTCTTCTAACCAAATCGGGGTTAACGCCGAGCATTTGATGACTCAGGCGCCTCCGTAAATGCTGGAGAGCCGGCACTGAGGAGGAGCTTGTGCTCAGAGCACACCCCACCGGGACCTCCGAGGGAGACAGCCCTGGGGGCGTGTGTGCCGCGCTAATAGTGATGTTCTCCACCTTTTCAACAGGGAAAACCGCTTCACCGTCTATCTACCCCCATCCCACCCTCAGACACCCCCGGCTTTTCCCTTGCCACACACCTCCTGTTTGGGCCTTGGATCAAGTACAGCTCCTAAGACCAAGGCAAGGAGCGGGTGTAGGTTCCAGGTGGTAACTGGTAGCAGAAGTGAATCCGCATTAGACCTGATGGGCCTTCCTCCTGGTTTTGTCATTGTGGGGACGGGACACACCGTTCCTCAGTTTGCCTCACCCGTGACATGGGAACGTTAGGAGCTACTTCCTGTCTGTGATTGGCAGGAGGGGGTGCAGCTGAGGCTGGTGACTGCAAAACACCTAAGGGCAATAAACCCTGCGTGCGTGCTCCTCCTTCCTTTGGTAATTCAGGCCGCGGAGACACTCCTAATAGACGCTGTGTATTGTTCAAGACAGTTAAAATCTAGGCTGTCCGGAGAGGTGAGCCACAGGGGACAGTGGAGACAGCCTGTCCCCTCACGGATAGTAAGAGACTGCACGGATATTCGGGAGAATGTGGCAAAGAAAAGGCACCTGAGTATTTAGAATGCACACTCGTTACAAAGGCCACACACATCATTTGTTGCCAGTGTCTGAAAATCAGAATTTTAGAACCCATTGGCCTGCCTTCTAACATTGTAAAAAAAAAAAAGTAACTTGACTTTCCTCGGGACCAATGAGAGGCAGAGCCAAGCCAGCATAATTAAGTCAGCTTTTAATTCAAATCAAGCCAGTGCTGGGTGGACAGATTTCTATTTATCTTATCAAACTTTCAAAGCATAGAGGCTGGCAAGAGGCCCAGATTGTCAGATTTAGAATTTTACTGGGAAAAAAAAAACCCACTCTGCTGAGACATTCAAAGAGATCTCTAAGGACCAGCCACAGCGGGAATGCTTTTGTAGGTAAATGCAGGTAGTTGCTACCCAAGCTACAGGAATGCTTGCGGAGGGGAAATTGTAAAGGTTTGCTCCCCTCCCCCGCAAAACCTACACAGGCACTGGTTTTGTGTAACTAAGCTGGCATGTTATGCATTCTAGTTTTTGGCAGTATCAACAAACACACACCCCTAAATATTACCAATCTGACCTAAAAATTAATCTAACAGATTTATACTCTCTATGAAATCGACCTTTTAACTAGGATGAAAAAGAATAGATAGTCTTAGTTTGGAATTTAGAACAACTGTGATCTGAGGGTGTAAACTAGCGTGATGATTTCCAGTCATTGATGGTTCCACCCTCCAGTGTGATGGGGCAAAAATGGAAATTAGTCACAGTAATTGTGTTTTATCAGTGTACTTTTTGAAAATTGTACTTATGCATAAAGCGAGGGGATTTTAAAAGGGCATGCTCCCAGGCACAACTGGCCTGATTTTTAAAAAATTAAACATATTTTTTTGTATCTCAGCAAAGCCAACAGATTTTAACACACAAGTGGTTATATTACACAACATCAAGGAAGAAAAAACTGCCCATGAAACTGTGACATCATCCATCTTATTGCATGATGCCTGTCTCATCCAGAGGTGTTAAAAGAAAAATTTTCTCTTAGAATTCGTGAAGTATGATATTAGGAAGTTCACGGACTGTGATTATATTATCTCAGTAGATGAGTAATTAGACATTCAATGCAGGTCTTTGGGGGGATGTTAATTGTCTTAGCATAAAGACAACATGTGACAAAGGCCTTTTATTAAAGTCATCTCTGACCAGCTGAGCCAAGTGTCCATGCACTGGAATGCATCGGGCCTCTGAACACCAAATAACGAGATAAAACCAGCTTCTAGCGTTCCCATGGCCTCACTGTGTGTGCGCTGGGCAATCAGCTCTCCATTACTGACTTTTTCCCCCCTCAAATACCAGATGTGTGGTGGCCCCTGCTAAAGCAGAACTCAGTGTTCCCTCTGCTGGCTTCGCAGCACAGAAACTAGACCTGAATGCTCCTCTGTTAGCCGGAGTAAAAGAAAGCCAAGATCATTTTGCAAAAAAAGTGCTGCTTTTGGAATAACAAATGAATTGTCTAGATTAGCAGTGACCTACACACCTCAAATTTTAAACTAAGGGTAAATATTTCATCTTAGTTATTCCACTCGGTAATGAAATTGCATTTGCAATGGAAGTGTAGTAACAAGTGTAGTATTTGCTCGCGTACTGCTTCTGCTCTCACACACCTGCACAACATAAAATCAATGCCAATTCTGCCCTGTGGAGTGGGGGGCTGGATGGAAACAGAATACTCTCCCACCGCCTCACATTTTCCTATCATAGAGGAGGTTGGGGTGGGTTGGACGGAGGCGGGGACCTTGCAGGAAGTCTTCAGATTTTGCAAGACTGTGCCTGGGATTGGGTTGTTGAAACTACAATTGTACTCAAGTACCCCGTTCAGATAAAGCATAGGGGTGGGGGTGGGGAAACCCCTGTTGTTACTTTAGTAGATAGGAAAGAAACCTTGGGACTCAGACACCATGGGCCTGCACCCACTGCCAGCACTGCCAGCTTGGCTTCTGAGGGTCCCGCATCTCACGGCAGAGAACCCGCCATCGCAAGCCCATTTACTTCTTAATCTAGTCGACCATGGAACTCTTTATCTTTTGGAGTTGATGCTTTATGGAAACTGGACTGGGCCAAGGGGCTGTGTGGAAAAATAAGGCATAGGAGTAATTCTTCCCTTCCAAAACCAACCCAAGATGTGCAGGCACATGAAAACGATGTTTTCTTTGTTTGTTTGTTTATTTATTGGAACAAACTTAGAAAGGTCACACACCTGCATGGCTAATCATTTCTGCCACACTGTCTGCCCAGCATGAGCGACGAGCCCACGGTGGATTCCATACCACTGGCCCTCATTTTCTGTCACCCAGGAGGGCTTGCACGGGCCACGTCGCTCTGAGGCCTACCTCGGGACTGGGCGCTCGGTTTCTCGAGGCCGACAGGGCACACCCACCGGGAGCCCGGGGTCTCTTGCAGCCGGCCACCTCCCACTCCCCTGCAGCTGCGGCCGCAAGGTGGCAGCGCCGAGCCTCCCTGCGCCCGCGCGCAGACGTGGGAAAGCGTGGGGATGGCGAGCTTTCTTTCTTCTCTTCCTCCTCTCCCGAGCCTGTAACACACACCCGCGCGCGAACACACTCTTCTGCCTTATTTAGGTGGCAGTTTAATCGGTCGGCGAGTCCTTGGGTGTGTCGGTGAATTCGGATTTTTTTTTTCCTCCTCTTTTAAATCAAAGTTTAGGGTAACCAACTGGCGCCTGCAGTTCAGCTGTTAGGAGCTGCCGGAGGAGATTGGGCAAGCCAAGACTAGCCTTCGGTTTGCATCTTACTGGCCGCACTCGGGAGATGATTTCTTTTCCAGTGCCCGGAACACCTTGCAAAATGCAAGGCGCGGTGAGCATGCAGCTTCTTAGCCAGCTTCTGTACGGCTTGGGAGAGCGGCTCTGGGAGGGAACCAGCGCGCGTAGCTCCAGGACGAGCCAAAGCGCCTTCTCCCCCCCACGTAAAACCCCAAAATGGTTTCTCCAAGCCAGAAAGCGCACCCGGGCACAGCGACTGCGGCGCCGGGGCCGGTTCTGCCGCCTTCGGCTCGCTGGGGATTAGTAAAGCTCGGCCTCGCCGCGCGCGGCAGCTGAGCTTCGCCTTTCGATTACAGTTACGGAGAGGAAATAAATTGGAATCGACTCAGGCTGTGCTTTTGGAAGACTCCTACTATAAACATGTTTCAGGCGATCCTGTCACCAGCATTTTAACACCCGCCTTCCGCTGGGGGGTTTGTACGGGGAGAGGGAGCTCACAGGCGCACGGCCGCTTGGCCGAGGGAAGACGCCCCTGCGGCCCCACCGGCTCCCTGCCGCGCCTGGAAGTCGCTCTGGGACTTGGCTAGCCCCCCGGGTCGCGCGTCCCGCGCGCTTGGCTCCTCCAGCTCCCCCCCCCCCCCCCCCCCCCCGCGCAGAGCCCCTTGGCCCCTTTGGCGACCATGTCCAGTTCCGCCACTGACCGGAACTCACAGCCACTTCGGCCCCCTTGCTCTTTCTTGAAGAGCCTCTGACCCCCATCGCTCTGTGCGCCT